GTGTCATGATTTCCAGACTAGATGCAGGTGAATGAATGGCTTGTTTGTCAGTATTGATAGTAGGTTTATTTTTGTTTAATAAACATCACATTTTCAAAATGCACCTGAGCACTGTGTGATTTTTTTTTTTTTTGAGTCTGTTTGCAGAGCTGCTCGCTCAGTCTGTCATCGACACAGACTCGTTGAACTTCTCTAGCAAGTTGGTTGTGATCTGGTAAGCCACAGAGAACTGCCTTTTTGCAAATGTTAGTTCTAAAAGCAAAAAGTCCATTGCCTGAAGCATGTCATTTACTGGCTGCGTGTTAGGGTCACTGTTTCCAAACTCTCCCCAAAGGACGACAGAATGGGAAGGGGGCTATGGGAGCAAACACCAAAGATGTGTTCTGCATCCCGTCGCTTCTGCTCTGCTCCACCTTCTCCAGGTGTGCTCTTGCCCTCCGTCCTCAGATCTAGAGCACAGGGACTAGACCTGGGGCCTGCTGCCTCCAAAGACTGGGCTGGACTGGACGATGGAGTCAGTCTCTCTCTCTGGCCTGATGACTAAGTATTTATCCACAGCAGAACAGTCACTGGGCCAGAGAGACTGAGTGGGAATGACTGTAATCTAGTGATTTGGGCATCCACCTGGGAGATGGGAAGCCCCAAGTCCAGTCCCCCTGCTGTACTCACTCTTTCATTATTTATCCAGAGTGCAACAGCTTCAACAGGAGAGAGGGGGGGAGCCCGCATCCGAATATCCCATAGCTCAGTGGTTAGAGCACTCCCCTGAGAGGCAGGTCTCCCTTCTCTCCCTCTGCCAGAACCTCAGTCTCCCACATCCCAGGTGAGTGCCTGAGTCAGTGGGTTCAGAGTGAAAAGGTGGGCTGCTGCTCCTCCACTGGCCAAATTTTAAATGGGACTGATCCAGTAGGTGGCCTCTGAGCACACCTACTGGATTGGGCCCCGCATGTGACTTAGGTGGCTGGACGCCTATCTTCCTGTTCTTTGTGAATCGCTCTGGGGCTTAGGCACGCTGTGCACCACAGTTTCCCCATTGGTAAACTAGGGATAATTTTGCCGCCTTCATAGTCGGGGGCTCTAGGCAATTAAACCGTGTTTGTAAAGTAGCTCGATATTCCTGGTTGAAAAGATGCTATAAAAGTGCAGTATATTATTAGATTTATGCCTGGGAAAACAATGAAGAAAATGGAGAACAAAAGACTGGATTCAATATTTGTGAGGACTGGGAAGACCCAGGAGTGGTAATGCCATACACAGGCTTGATTCTGCACTTTTTAGCCCTTGTGTTGTCACTTAACCTGCATGCAAAGCGGGTATGAAATGTTACCCAGTGGAATGTTGGCATTTTGCACCCAGTTTGCACGGCACCTGCCCAGCGTGTGAGAAGCGGGGGGTCAGGTCCACGTCCTTTCTGTTCTAGCTCACTAGTCTGAATCCAGGCCAGGTGAGCACAGCTGATCATGTATAGCTCTCTGGTGCCCTTTGTGAATTGATGGGGTCAATCTCAGTCCAATTCCTATTAGAGGTTTAACTGGCATGCTAGGCTGATGGCTAAATTCTGTTTATTCTACTACCCTTCTTAAGCACTAAACTTAGATTTTTTTTTTTTAAGGGAACACTTCTGTTGGGACAGAACCTGACAGAATTCAGCACTGAGGCTGTCACTTTGTCTTGAATCAATAGTTTAGAAATATTGTAACACAAAACGGAAAGTAGTGATTGAAGAACAAAAGCTCCCTGCCAGCCTCCGCCCTTCCTGGGGTGGAGGATTATCTCATCAATTGGGATCAAGACACTTTTTAATGAAAACTTAATAAATTGGCCCCAATAATTGGGCGTTATTTCCCAAGGTCCCTGCAGTTATTATAATTGCTCACCTGAGATTTCTTACTCATTGCTCGACTTTTCAGGATAAGAATGCTCGTGCGATCGTCTTGAAAGTCCCTGCCGGAGCGCCTGAAGGAGGAAGAAAAGATATGTAAATGTGCACCTCTCTAGATTATATTTAATGCTCTATTTTTAGTTTTCTTGTATCCCTTGAGGTTGTCACAATTTAGTACAGATCTCTGCTTGAACGAGGGATGTGACATCTGCTATCATTACAAACCCCATCGATATGCTTGGTGGTGGGGGAGGGGAAGCACTGCAGTGCTGCAGTTAATGTATTTTACAGTCTCAAAGTAACTTCTAGCCACCTTGTTAGGATGTGCTGGGCCTATGCTGGGTAACACATTTTTCATGGCTGCTTTGTTTCAGTGACATGCCAAAGGGGCTTCCATTCACGTGAGTGAACTTAGCACTTGATTGATAAACGTAAATGTTTCTAATGTACTAAACTAAGTTCACTCTTAATTATTGTACCACTCGACATGAATGCTGGAAAAACGGACCCCAACCACTGAAAATTAAGCAGTAGCGTTGAGTCTTTAGGACTAAGGCTTCAGTACAGAAGATGGTGAACAAAACTGCATTGAATTCCGTGGGGTCACTCCTGGTTTTTACTAGTGTATATGCAAGTAGAATGAGCAGGCCTGATTCCCCTTGCCTTGCTCCTGGGATAGTCATTCAGCGGTGTAAAATGCTACCAACCCAGCATTCCTCACTCATGCAAGGCTGTGGAAAATCTCTCTCTGGTACATAAACGCTCTCCATTCCCATAGTATTTGAGCACCTCACAAACTCTAATGTATTTATCCTCCCATACCCCGGTGAGGCAGGGAAGTGCTATTATTCCCATTGTACAGATGGGGAACTAAGGCACAGAGGGACCAAGGCCTGGATCCTCAAAGCTACGTGGGCACCTAACTTCCATTGGGATCCATAGGAATTAGGTGCCCAAGTACCTTTGAGGATCTGGGCCTAACTCAAAGTCCCACAGGCAGGGCTAGATCTACAAAGGGATTTAGGTGCCTAAGTCCATGCTCAGCTGCCCCCGAACCTGAAGAGTTTCTGCCAGTGAGCATGTGCACAGATGCCTAAGTCCCGATGCCTGGAGTCTATCTCACAGCTAAGCCCCTGTGGGGTGCTCAAACGAAGCATGGCCCTGCTCACCTTGCCTGATCTGGTAGGCGTTGTCAGCGGTCGCCTAACTGATTGGGCCCTGCACAAAACACCACTGGAGCAGGCGGCGGCAGCAGCCCCCTTATTACCTCTTGCCCAGTGGTTGAAGCACTCACCCGGTCTGTGGGAGACACCTGTTTCAGATCCCCCTGTTAGGTGAATGCCCTAGCCTCTGGGCTATGGGACATTCTGAGGTGCGGGTCTCTCTCAGTCTCTCCTGCTGAAGCTGTTACTGGAACAGGGTCTTGACGTTGAGTCTCCCCATGCCAGGTGAGTGCCCTGACCAGTCAGGCTCATGCTATCTCTGCCCCAGGGACATAATTATTCATACAAAATAGAACTCATGGGCGGCGGGTATAATAGGCCGGGGGAAGCTCTGCCTCCCCTGGTGCTGGTGCTGCTGCTGCTGCCGGACCCCCGGCTGCTGGATTTTGGGGGGAAGTTTTTGCTTTATTGTGCCCCATGCAGCTTCCAGAGCGGCTGAAGAGGCGGTATGTGCTACTCCACTTCCTGTGTTCATCAGTAATCTCCCGGGACTCCAGAGAGATTACTGATGGACCCAGGAAGCTGAGTAGGAAATACCGCTGCCTCAGCTGCCCCGGAACCTGCATGGGGCATAGTAAAAGCGTCTTTGGATGGGAGTGAGAGACTTTTCCCCACAGCGGCTTGGGGTCTGGGGCATGGCTGTGGTTGGCCTGGGGCTCCTTCAGGCAGGTGGGGGGGGCCTCAGGGCACCTCCGGGCAGGGAGGCTTGGGGCTTCGGCTGGCCCGGGGCTCCTCCAGCCGAGGGGAGGTGCTCAGGACTCCTCCGCGTGGGGAGGGGGAGAGGACTCATGGCTCTGGCTGCGGGGGAGTGGCAGGGGGTCTCAGGCAGAAGGGGCGGAGCCGGGGGCTAGCCTCCCCTAAGGCGGGGCTCCACCCACCACCCATGATGGAACTGTTTCAACAAGACAGATTGAGGGAGCCCCCCCATCAGAACATCCCATTGCACAGGGGCCGGGGCACTCTCCTGAGATGCGGGTTCAAATCTCTGTTCCAGCGCCATCAGCGGGGATTGAACCTGGGTCGCCCACCTAGACGAGGGGAGTGTTCTGACCTCCGTGCTAAAGGCCTTTTCGGGGCGAGCTGCACAACCTGCTCTTCCGTGGGGACCTCTGATTTTTTCAAGCAGGGGCCCAGACCCCTAACTCCAGGAGAGGGTTTGCGGCTGCAAACCCAGCGCAGAGATAGACCCCTCCCCGGTATTTTCTACTCGCTGGTTTAGGCAGCAACACGCTCAGCTTGCTGGGTTTTGTGGGTCCCATTCTTAGGTGCCTCAGTCCCCGTACATTGCAGAGGGAGCCTGGCTGCCTATCTTGGGGCTGTGGCTTCTGCTAGAAGGCAGGTTGCCTAAAGTTAGGCTTTGTAATGCTGAGTCTCTGCAGCTCTAGCCTAAAGCCTGTGGCAGTTCTCCCAAGGACCAGGTTAGTGCTCTAACCACTGGCCCGTCCTTCCGCCGACAGCCCATAAAAGTCAGAACATGCACACTCAGTCTCATTCATTGTAGACATAAGCAAAGAATGGCGGCGTCTCTTCTCTCCCCTGCAAATCCTTTCCTGTCGCTGAGGTGAGTGGACGTAACAGTATCAGAAACGGGCCCCACAGGCCCCAAGTCTCCATCCCGCACCCCCTCCCCAACCCCCACCCTCCCACAAGCAGATCGGCAGGTTTAATCAGCCTGCGTTTTCCTTCAGTGGGTTACACTGCCACAAAACGGGTAGGAGCTGGTAGAGAATCAGGTCTCCTACTATTTAAAGGTGCCAAACACAGAAAACTAAGCGGGAGCTACACCCACGGCCTAGGCTTGTCAGCCCCTAGCTGTCATTGCTGATGGCAGGGGGAAAACGATAAAAGCAGGGAGGAAGAACTGAGTTGGCGTAACCCTCCCTTTCTTCCAGCACAGGCAGTGCTCCCGCCAGCGACGGTGGCTCTGGCCTGCTAGGTTTGCCGGCTGTCATGTTATTTGTTGGGCGGTGAGAAAGCTGTTTTTGAAGGGCTATCCCCCAGCTCCTGCCAATGCTGCTGCCTTCAGTCAGCACCATTCTCCAGTCTGGGCCTGAGTGAATTGCTGAGCAGTTTGGCATGAGCACCTCCTCAACCACCTGAGCTTGGCCCTTACAACCTCCCCAGCACTGGCTTGTATTACTGCAATTTAGGATTTCCTCCCTCTCCAGTATCTCCCCGTATTCCCCCCCCCCCCCATCTACATTATTCTAAGCTTTTCCTCCCTTAAATTCCTGCTTTGTGTTTAAGTTCCTCTAACACAGATTTAGTCTGGGAACAGAAGGGAGGACTAGTGATGGAATTCGCTGCTGCTAGCTTTGCCTCTGCCCTAGAAAGGAGCCCGAATCCTATTGCTGGCTGGATGCATGGGAACTTCCTCCCCCCAGCGCAGGGCAGGATGAGGTCACTGTTTTTTATTTAGACATTTGTTTGCTGTTGCTTCTGGGCTCTTTAAATACATCAAAACAGCCTCATTCGTCGGTCAGTTAGAGACTTGCCCTTTTAAATGACTAAGCTGTGAGTTCTGCCGTGCTTGCTGTCTGAAAGCCCTGTTAAACAGCTGTGCCTTTCCCTGTGCTCACCCAGCGTGGGCTCTGGTAGACTACTGGACAGCAAGGGTTGCAGAGGCAGGGGTCCTCCACTGAGCATGCTTTGCAGCTGCTTCTGCACCATGACCTTCAAGAACGGGCAGCAAAGCTAGCCCAGCAGAGCGTCATCCCCAGAAAAGACCCAGGGGAAGAGACAGTCCCTCAGCCCATTGGGTGCTAGACCGCTCATTCCCCAACTGGGCCCCGGAGCACGTGCTGGTGCTGTGCAGACTGGCTGATCACAGGTTCCAAACTCCACCTTGACCTCTGGTTCATGAATGCACAGAAGAGCCCGGATGCCTGTAAAAGCAACTGCTGGGTGGGAGGAGGACAATGTCTCGTTAATAGCCACTCCTGCATAAGAGGAGAGGAAACAGAAGACTGCTGGCCAAAGGCAGACATGCATCCCTAGTAGCAAGTGCAGGCAGAGATCCCATACTCCCTACCCCTTCCTCCTGATGCTCCCCTCCAACTAGCACCATTTCCATTTTGGCCAGGCAGAGCATCAGCGAGTCTCCTCATCTCTGTCAGCCTCTGGGAAAGCGCAAGTTCTAGGGTTCAGGATCCACACAAAGGTGACGGTGAGCTGAGTTTCATCCACATTAACTGGTGACACTGCAGCCCCAAATGTCCCCCAATTGCTGTTAGCAGTGGTACTTTGATGTCCATTGGGATGGCAGAGAGCAGTGACAGTGCATGCATGTGTTAGTTATGCTGCGTGTTGAGTTACGAGGCTGTATTACTGCCTCTACCTGCATTAGACCCATTCCCTTTAGTTAGTGTTAGTTTGTTGGTCCTTTCCTGCTTCCTGGCAGGGACAGAGAAGGTGGGGACGGCAGGGGAGGATATTGGGATTAATAGCCAGTTAAAATATGTAGAGGAAGGTTCCCAATCAACAGGTACCCCAAGTTTCAACAGATTATTTCAAACAGAACAGCAATATCGGGATCAACGGGAAGCAACCGTTCACACTGTCACCATGAGTAACGCAGTAGGAATAAAATGCATCTCCGGGAACAGGATCAACATTATATTAAGTATTAGCAATGTTCTGGCATTTGATGTTCCTCCTCTGCTAACAAACAGTGCCATCAGCGTCCTTGCAGGACATGCAGGATTTGGTGGCTCAGGTATGTCACTCAGGGTATGTCTACACCACAGCAGGAGGCATCATTTCCAGTTTGGAAGCCATACTCGCGCAACCTCTGACTGAGTGAGTGTTCTTAAAATAGCTGCGTAGCTGTGATGATGGAAGCAGCAGGCCAGGCTAGCTGCCCTGACTATGAACCAGTCTGAAACCCTAGAGATGTACTCCAGCAGCTAGTCCATCCCATTGTTGCTTTACACTATTGAGATAACACAGGTATGTCTCCTCAAGCTGGAAATTACACCTCCAGTACCAGTGTAGATGTAGCCTCAGTGAGAGTCTGCATCAGGAAAAAGGGTGGATTTTTTTTTAAACCAAGTGCTAGCTAACATATAGAACATAAGAACGGCCATACTCGGTCAGATCAATGGTCCTTCTAGGCCAGTATCCAGTCTTCTGACAGTGGCCACTCCCGGATGCTTCAGAGGGAATGAACAGAACAGGGCAATTTTGAGTGGTCCATCCCCTGTCGTCTAGTCCCAGCTTCTGGCAATCAGAGGTTTAGGAACACCCAGTGCATAGGGCTGTATCCCTGACTATTTTGGCTAATAGCCATTATTGATGTATCCTCCATGAACTCATCTAATTCTTTTTTGAACCCAGTTATACTTTTGGCCTTCACAATATCCCCTGGCAATGAGTTCCACAGGTTGACTGTGCGTTGTGTGAAGAAGTACGTCCGCAAGTTAGTTGTAAAACTGCTGCCTATTCATTTCACTGAGTGACCCCTTGTTCTTGTGTTATGCGAAGGGATAAAAACCCTTCCCTATTCACTTTGTTCACACCAGTCATGATTTTATAGACTTCTGCCCTAGTAGTAGTCTCTTTTCTAAGCTGAACAGTCTGTCCTTTTAGTAACTAACACATGGTAACATCCCAGTGTGGACAAGGCAGGTTGTAGTTTTCACACACATTAGAAGGGCAAGTGCTTACTTTGACCTGCTGCGTGACAACTACATACTACCTTGTCCACACTAAGATGTTACCATGTGTTAGCTAGTGTAGTAAAAAAACCACCTTTTTTTCCTAGTGAGGACAAGGCCTTGGCCTCTTCCTCTGCCTCCCTTGGGGCCATGATACCTACTCATATAAATGCTGTGTTTGTGGCAGAACAAACCCAGATGATGGTATATTATAGTTTAAGGGAGTTTGTAGAAGAAAAGTGTCCGGCAGCTCCGATGTACTGAACTATGGTTGTGGCCCAGAGATTCCAGCTCAAATGTGCTCAGTTTACAAGTACAACTAAATTCTGATCTCAGTTACACTAGTGTAAATCCAGAGTAAACTTCCATTGGTGTAAATGAGATGAGACTGCCCTGTTTTTTTACTGACTGCTGGCTTGCAAACTCAGACAGGGAATGAGAGTCAAGCTGGGTTCTTTCTGGCTTGCCAACACTGAAATTCTGCAACCAGAATTTGGTTCACAATCCTGTTGATGATGCATGAGCTAGAATCCAGCTCTTTCCCACTTACCTGTGCTAGTTCTGCAGGGCCAACGGGAGGAAAAAGCAGTGAAAACTTATCTTTGTTACTAGAACAAAGAACTGTGACTCTGATACAGGGAGCAAATCAGTTGAGAAGAAAGTTCAGTTTTAACACAGATGCCTGTGAGTCAAGCTGCACTTCAAACTGGCCCCACTTCAGAATTACAACGGCTATCAAGGGGATTTTATCTGGTGAATCAATCCAGCGCTTGACAGATCAAACAATGCTACATCTAAGGGTTTAAAATGGTCACTACCCTCAAGATTAACACAGAAAAACAGCTCCAGCAGACCTGGAGGAGATAAAAGCATCTTCACTTAATAGAAGATGAATTTTTTCCTTCCCAGTGCACAAGCCCTAAACTAGGATAGACACGCTGGATCATAGAGTTGGAAGAGACCTCAGGAGGTCATCTAGTCCACCCCCTTGCTCAAAGCAGGGCTGATCCCCAGACAGATTTTTACCCCAGTTCCCTAAGTGGCCCCCTCAAGGATTGAACTCACAACCCTGGGTTTAGCAGGCCAATGCTCAAACCACCTGAGTCTGTTCTAGTTACCCCACTAAAACTGGTGTCAGCGAGAGGAGGATCAGGCATACATTCTGAGTTTGATTCATTGGCTTGTGTAATTTAGACACAGGCACAATAATCACCTGGATTTTGTAAGTGAGAAGTGTAATTTGCCAGCCAGTGTAATAATGCCCTGGGGGAAGGAGAGGGGAGGGATGACATCAGAAAAAGGGGTGTGGTTTATTCAACTAAGTGGCGGTCCCCCTGTCAGGTAGTAGCAATCATGTAGTGTGTATGGTGTCTGGATGAAAATAGCCCCCCTCCCAGTTTGACTCTGGTGAGGTGCTGTCTTCCAGGCAGGGTTCAGGGTCCAGCCCAGTTCAGACACTGAAGTTTGCAGCAGGTGGCTGTGGAGCATCCATTACAGAGGCAGGATATGGTTTAATTATTAGTAGTTTACAGTGCAGTTCTACTCTGTAAAGTGACTGTGTCGGAATGACAGGTTTCAAAGTAGCAGCCGTGTTAGTCTGTAGCCGCAAAAAGAACAGGAGTACTTGTGGCACCTTAGAGACGAACAAATTTATTTCAGCATAAGCTTTCGTGGGCTACAGCCCACTTCTTCGGATGCATAGAGTGGAACACACAGACAGAAGATATTTATACATACAGAGAACATGAAAAGGTGGAAGTACGCATACCAATTGTAAGAGGCCAATCAATTGAGATGAGCTATCAGTAGCAGCAGAAGAAAAAACTTTGAAGTGATAATCGAGATGACCCATAGAAGGTGTGAGGAGAATTTAACATGGGGGAAAAAAAATTCAATTAGTGTAATG